TGAGTAAAGAGAGACCTCTGTCGATCTAGAATAATCAGAATCAGATACATTTACAGCCATTTAGACATTTTATCTTTCAAATTGCTGCGATTAATTCGGAGAAACCGTTGAAAACAACACCGCTTAGTTTGAGACTACGGTGTAGCTTCCTATTGGATGATCCTTATACACTTTTACTTCTGTCGCCCTCGAATGAGCGATCAAAATTTATTTCACCGTACTATACCACTTGAACTAACGCTAAAAATGCCTACCGGCTGTGAATACTCTCAAAAAGAAAAGCAGTTGATCTTTAACGTGATTAACTTCGTTGAGAGTGAGAAAAACGGGTGGAAAATTCCTTTGTATAATGTGAACGAACGTCTCGAAGCAATGCTTGGAATCTCAATGCGTTCGGTTGAAAGGCTGAAGAGCGAATTCCGAGAAGATCAAGAGCGCCTTACTGAAGAGATAAGAAGAACAACCGAAGAAGAGCTGAAGAAACACAATGAAAAGCATGAATTAACTCTTCGCCTACGTCATCGAAGTTCTAGTCGAGCAGAACGACGATTTAGCCCGATGAGAACTCAGGTAGACGTCCGGCAATACTACTTTCCGAACAACAACAAGAACATATTCGGTGAGTAAAGAACATTGTCGAAGTTTCTTTTATAACTGACAGAATGTTTTTAGATATACCTTCCATCGAATTTTAGCTGACCGAATCTATCCAACAACTGAGAAGATTCTCGATTATATGTTGGCTGATGATGATGATTTTCCGGTCCATTCTCCTACAACATTATTGCGATGGATGAAAAAGTTAGGTCTCGTCTACAAACGAACGTCAAAAGTTATTGTCCCTCTGGATTCGCCATCGTTTATGGCTGCACGAGCTCGTTACTTCAGGGCTCTCGATCAATTAAAGAGCAAGGGTAGCAAGATTTTCTGGCATGACGAGACTTGGTGTAACAAAAACGAAGAGAAGGTTTTCGTTTGGACTGATGGAACAACTGGTAAAGGTCGACTACGTAATAGCGATGGAAAAGGTAAATCGACGATTGTTTACACCAATCTTCTATGATTTCTGTAATAGGAAAAAGACTTGCGATCTCGGCCTTACTATCAAATTCTGGTTTTCATTTACCATCTGTGGATATCTTCGAATGTGATGAAAACCACAGCATGGATTCAAACCACTTCGTCGCATGGATCGATCGAGCATCGCATACAATACGAAAAGAACTCGGTAAGACAACTCACATCGCTTACCTTCCTCACTCTATGCATCCATTTCTAGGGAAAGATGCCACAGTCACTTTGATACTCGACAATGCCACATGGCATAATCGATTAACAGAAGAGACGATGCCACCAAAGCGATCGTGGAAGAAGCAACTGATCATCAATTGGCTAGACAAACACGATCTCCCTTTTACTGACAATATGACAAAAGCTGAACTGCTTGAAGTCGCGTTCGACAATCTACCATCCAAGCGCTATGTGGTAGACGAAGTAGCAGCAAAAAATGATGTTCAGATACTACGGTAAATTGATGACATACAAATGATGAAACTCAATACTTTTTCATTTGAAGGTTACCCATCAAACACTGTATGCTTAATCCGATCGAGTTGGCGTGGTCTGGTCTCAAGAACTTCGTACGAAAAAACAACATCAACTTTCGACTCAGTGATGTGCGTCATTTGGCTATGCAATGGATCTCCTCATTGACTGCCGGCGACTCTGGTGCCTACATCGATCACACGCTCAAGATTGAAGAAACCTTCAAAAAATCTGATCGATTTACCGAGCAGATCGAGGAAGATCTAATGGACGAAGATGATGACGATGTGAACTCGGAAGAAGAAGGCGTTCTTGATTGATATTCGAATGTTTTTCTTCACTTTTTAAGTGGCTCCCAGTAAAACGATGTCCAATAGATACCTATCTAATCG